CAGTCTTGACCTCCCCAACTCAAGCGATCCTCCCACCTCAATCCCACAAGCAGCTGGGACTACAGGCACATGCCACCATATCCAGCTTTTTTTTTTTTTTTTAATTTTTTTGTAGAGACGGGGCCTCCCCATGTTGCCCAGGCTGGTCTCAAACTCCTGGGCTCAAGCAATCTTCCCACCTCAGCTTCACAAAGTGCTGGGATTACAAGAGTGAACCACCACACCCGGCCAAGCACTATGGATTTTAGATTATTGAGAGTTATGTTATTCTGCAGAGTAACCTGGAATCCATTTGCATCTATTTTTTTAAGTAAAATATTTGCAAGCTTAAGAACTCTGGCTCCTATCAGTTATACATCACTGTGACACACCTCACAAGTGGCTGAGGGTCAGTCTTGGGACATGGGCCATCACATAACAACGGGAAAGAAGGGGGAAAGAAACAAAAGCCATTTTGTAGGAAATGGAACAAGGTGGGGAAGAAAATAGGGGGTAAAAAAGAAAAAGAATTTGGAAGGAGATGTGGAATGTTAGAATGCCAGATCATTTGACTTCCCTCAATTTAGCAGCTATGGTTTAAAAACAAGGAAAGCAAATCAACTTTGTCCTTTATCCAGAGGAGTCACCAGTCTGGGTGTGGGGTGAGGAGATGGCCTCAGTTGGGGCCAGCATGTCCTAGAACTTCTTGTGAGTGTGAAAAGGAAAAAGGAGAGAAGACACACTTTTGTCAGCCAGTCTTAAGTAGCTAAAATGCTTTCCTCAACCTACTGAGAAAAAAGTTAGGATTCACCATTTTAGTATAAAATACCCTCACTCATTTTAAAATACATTTTCTAAAAATTTCCCCTTTCAAAGCAAGACATCTAATTTGAAAAACTCATATCACAACTTTTAACTGTAATATAAATTAAGTGATTTGGTAGGAATTTTAACATTAGAACACGGGTACATGTGACGATATTGGCAGGGAACAGCTGGCACACTCAAAGGGGTAATGAGTAGACGTTTAACAAAGGGACTATTCACAGAGGTGGGAACAGAGTCAAGAGGAAAACAAGGGGAGTGAAGCACCCTGGATTGGCAGCACTGGGCAGCCATCACCATCATGAGACCTCAAGGGAGCAGGGGAGGAGAATTGAGCAGATCTTGAGCACAGCTGCAGAGCTGTGGGAGGGAGGGGTTGCCTGACTGGAGCCACGGCTGAGAACAGAGGAAGGCAGCCCTAGCCAAGAACGGACAGGCAAAGAGGGTGCAAGGGGTAGTGGAAGAGGGGCAAGATTCAGGACCTCATGGTGCTCACCACTGGCTAATCCCAATCAGAAGCCAGAGGGAAAGAGAACCAGAGTGATGGAGCCTCCATAGGCCCTGAAGAGATGGAGGGCCATTCAAATACAGAGAATGTATTTGAAGATGGAGAATAACCTGCTTAGGGAGTTTCTGCATTGCCTTCTCCCATTCTTATTCCTGCCTCTTCATCATGCTGAACAGTCATTGACAGTGTGAGTGGAAAGGAAGACTTGGCAACCTATGCTTTCTAGAATTTGCAACACTCACCATTTTGATTTGCGGCACACTGCTCTACTAAAGGGGAAAAATTTACACTCAAAATAAAGATATCAGTAGGTTCAAGAGGTAACCTAGGCAGTCTGGATCAAAATGTGGTGCCTTGTTTCTAAAGCATAAATGTGGTCTAGACATATGGTTTTGAACAGAATCGGTTTCCTACAGACAAAAGGCCATGAAGATCAACAAATTGTTCTTAACTACTTCCACTTAACTTAATTGCATGAGGCCGCATTATCTACACAGCTGAAGAGAAGAGATGTACTTACAACTTGGATGTGGCTTTCTTTGTTCATCAACTTTGAAAAGGCTTAGAATAAAGATTGTTTTTTCTTGCAGTGAATTTCAATATGTCAAAGAATAACTCAGCTTGAAATGAATAAGCCCCAGTAGGTTTTGCTTCAATATAAGAATTAAATGATTTTATTCTGATATACAGACAATCTATAAAGAGTCACAGTTTGATGCCTGGTGCAAAGTTTTACTTTTTAAATACTTGTCGTTCTATTTGTATCTTTCATGATGCTGAGAAAGCAAAGTAAAAGGAGGCTGTGCTGTTATCCTGACCTGACAAGTCTTAATTCAAATTTCATTAAAGTTTACTACACACTTAACACATTTTTATTATAAAGTTTATAGTATCTAGTAAAAAGTTATAGGTGAAAAAACAAGTTCTAAGTTCAAATATGGTTAGGATGTACTTGATTAGACAAATATAAGTGAATTTGTTGCTATGGAATTTCTCATATCTGTCATATTTTAACATGATGTACTTATACAAGGGGGCTAACGGGTGTAGCCCTCCCAGGTTTCCTTGACCATCAAACGCTTGTGTCACACATCATCTTGTAAGATTAATGTTTCATAGAATTAGTTTTTGAAGCACTCTTTAAACAGGAGGTCTCCAAGTTCCTATTTCTGTAGTAACAGTGTATAAATGCTGGCAATATTAGTGGTGAGACTAGGTTTTTAGGAATGTCTATGGGCTGATGGAAGCATCTCCTGGGTGTAGAATCAGAAGAATTAAGTTTATTCCAAACTTAGTTGCACTTGGTTGTACTACTTACTAGCAGAGACACACTGGGTAAATCAATATGACTTTTCTGAGACTCAAATTTCCTCATCTCTAAGATAAATGATCCTTACCTCAATAGGTCTTTGATAAGGTTTTCAAGTAGCTTCAAGTTCCACAAAACATTAAATATATCCCTACCATAATGATGAAGACTTTCTACTCCCAGGTATTTATTCAAAGAAAGAAAGGCATAAGTCATATAAGAATGTTCATGGTAGCTTTATTTGTAATAGCCAAAGGTAGAAATTACTCAAATGTTCATCAACATGGAATGAATAAACAAATTGTGGTATATCCATACAATGGAATATTACTCAGCAATGAAAAGAACTGAACTAGTCATACACACAACAACTTGGATGAATCTCAAAAATTTATCACCAGTGAAATAGGCAAGACAAAAAGCATACATACTATACCATTTTATTTCTGTAAAGGTATAAAAAACTAAACTATAGTAACAGAGAAAGGATCTGTGGCTTCTATGGTTGCCTGGGGACTAAGGGAAAGGAGGCAACAGGAAATGGTGGGAGGGGAGAATCACAAATGGGGTTATGAGTAAACTTTTGGGAATGACAGATGTGTTCACCATCTTGATTGTTGTGACAATTTTGTGAGTGTATGCATAAGTCAAAATTTTTCAAATTTTACGTTTTTTTTTTCAAAGTGAGAAATAAAAAGCCTTTATTAAAAGTAGTGCTAGGAAACAGAGAAAATAAGAATAAAATTTACCCATTTGAAATATATGATTTTCAGACTCTAAATGAATACAGAGTTTGACAGTGTGATGTTTACAATAATGTCTTTTCTTTAGATTATCTGGATTATGAAAGCAAGCACTTTTTTCATTAAAACAATTATATACTAGGAAAAACTGTCATAATAGTATTAATGTGGGGAATTTTGATTATGAAATTCAGGGATAAATTACTGCCCATGGTCTGTGTCTTCAATATTGTAAGCAGCAGCCATCATGTAATTTCAGATTAATGCCAATTTTGTTCCCTGATAGATGGAGCTTAAACAGTATATGCTGCTTTAAATTTCTACCTCTAGCAGATCTTTATTGGAGGGAGTTTTCCTTTGTATTTTTTAATGTATGTTATTCTGTTTCCAGTAGCTTGGAAAGTAGAGATGACTAATGTTTTAGCCTTTTCTTGGAGAAAAGAAAGAACTCTTCTTGAATATTTTCACAGATGATTGTGATTGCTTTAAATGACCTCTGTGGCAATTTAAATTAGATGGATTTAATCTCAGTAATGTGCTGGTCGCATAAAAGTTATGTTTTAATAGGAAAACTTACTTGTAAATGTTTAGACCTTTGTTGTCACTTAGGCTAGGGAGTCACTACCCTATTTGGCATCTTACTAGTTGGGGGGACCTTTTCCGTGACTTAGACATGCTACTGATTGATACCACATTTTCAAGTTTAGAATATATTAACTACAAAAGCTGTAAGAAAAAAAGTGATGCAAATTTGTATAGAACATTTAAAAAACAATATTCATGATACAAGGGATAAATTAACAAATGAAGTAACTGATTTCATAATTAACTAAAACATATGCTATAATTTAGAAATGTAACATTATTAAAGAAAACCTAATAGAAAAAAAATTAATAAAGCCAACCCACCAGTGTCAACCTGTTTTTGCCTGTGACAAAAACAAAGATCATTTGTTTTGATACAAGTTGTAAAAAAGTGAATACTAGTCAGTGAATAAAAAGCAAATTTTACATTTTAAGTACTTGCAGTATATGAGAGTTTGGGTTTCTCCACATCCTCCTCAGTATTTGGTGTGGTCTTTCTAATTTTGTCAATTTAATAGATATGTGGTGATATCCGTGACAGTTTGAATTTGCATTTCCATAATAACTACAGATGTTGAGCATCTTTTCCTGTGCTTATTTGCTACCAATATATTTTCTTTGGTGAAGTGTCTATTTAATTTTTTTTCCTTTTTTTATTTGGTTGTTTTTTCTCTTATTGTCGAATTTTGAGAGTTTTTAGATATTTTTGATATGAGTTATTTATCAGATACATGATTTGCAAATATTTTCACCCAGTATGTGCTTTTGGTATTTTGTGCAAGAAATCTTTGCTTAACCCAAGGCTGCAAAAATTTTATCCTATGTTTTCTTCTAGAAGTATTATAGTTTTGGGATTTTACACTTAGGTCTACTGTTCACTTTAAGTTAATTTTTGTATATGGTACAACATGTGGATCAAAGTTCATTTATTTTGCACATGGATATTCCCTTTTTCCAGAACCATTTGTTGAAAGGCTACATTTTTGTCCAAGAACTGGGCTTTAAACTTTGTCAACAACCAAGTTTTCATTTATGTTTGGGTCTGTTTCAGGACTCTCTTCTGTTCCCTTGGTCTACTTGTCTAACTTGACTCCAGTACCACAGTGTCTTGCTGCAGCTTTATACACTTTGAAATCAGGTAATGTTTAGTGTTCTCAACTTTTTCCTTCTTTTCAAAATTGTTTTAACTAGTCTAGGTCCTTGGCATAGCCATATAAATGTCAGAATCAGCTTGTAAATTTGTACCCAAAAAGTGTGTGAAGATTTTGATTGAGATTGTGTTTAATCTATAGATCAATTTGGGGAGAACTTTAACTTAGCAATATCAAGTCTTCGATACCATGATATCTTTATTTATTTAGATCTGCTTTAATTTATTTTGGCAATGTTTTGTACCTTTCAGCATATAGGTCTTGCACATATCTTGTCAAATTTACATCTATGTATCATATTTTTATGCTACTGTAAGCAGCACTGTTTTATTTAAATTTCTGATAGTTGGTTGCAAGTACATAGAAACACAACTGATTCTTGCTTGCCGATCCTGTATCCAGCAACCTTGCTCATTTATTAGTTTTAGGAGCTTTTCAAGATTTGCTCAGATTTCCTATGTAAGCTATCACATTATCTGGGAATAAAGGGAGTTTTACTTCTTCCTTTCCAATCTGAACATCTTTTATTCTTTTATTTATTTATTTTTTCATTATTGCCCAAGCTAGAATCTCAAGCACACTGTTAAATAGAAGTGGTGAGAGCAGACATTCTTGTGTTGGTCCTGACCTTAGTGGGAGAGTATTCAGTATTTCATCACTAAGTATGATGTATGCTATAGTTTATTTCATAGATTCCCTTTATCAGGTTAAAGACATTCCCTTCTTATCCAAATTTGCTGAGAGATTTTTAATGCGAAACAGATGTCATGTTTTGTCAAATGTTTTTCTGTGCCTATTTGGTCTGTTTATATTGTGAATTACATTAAGTTGATTTTCAAATGTTAAATTCTTGGATTCCTCAGATAAATAGCATGTGGTCATGCTGTAGTCTCCTTTTTCTAAATTATTACATATGATTCCCAAAGTTTTATTTAGGATTTTTGCATCTATGTTCATGAGGGTTATGAGTCTGTAATTTTTTTGTCTTGTAATATCCTAGGTTCTAGAATCATCATATGTTATAGAATGAATTTCCTCCTCTTCCATTTTCTCAGAATGTTTGTGTAGAATGGGTAGTTTTTATGTCCTTAAATATTTAATAGAATATACCACTGAAGCCACGTGGGCCTGGAATTTTCTTCGTGGGAAAATTTTTAACTAAAACTTCAATTTCATTCATAGATTTAGGGCTATTCAGATTATCTGATCCATCCTGAGAGAGTTTTGGTAGTTTGTAATTTTAGGCAGTTTTTCCATTTCATTCAAGTTGGTGAAGATACTAGCATAAAGTTGTTAATAATACTCCCACATTGTCCTTTTAGTATCTGTAGAATCTGCAGTTATGTCACCTCTCTAACTCCTGACTTGATTTCTTCTTTCTTTTTTGTTTCTTATCAATCTGCTGAAGGTTTGGCAATTTTATTGATCTTCTTAAAGAATTAGCTTCTGTTTTCATTGATTTTTTTTTCTATTTTCTATTTCATTGACTTCATCTAAGATTTTATTATTTCCTTTCTTCTGTCCACTTTGGATTTTATCTTTTCTAGTTTTTGAAGTTAGAAGCTGAAGTCAATGATTCTAGACCTCTCTTCTTTGATAATATGGACTTTTTGCTTTTGTGGTATCTCATAAAGTTTGAAATATTTTTATTTTTATTTTTATTCATTCAAACTGTCTTTTTTTTTTTTTTTTTTTTTTTTTTTTTTTTTTTTTTTTTTTTT